TCTAGATATTTAAAAAGACATTACTGGAAATTGGCAGGAAATATGATTAAAAGTGATAGCATTTAAAAATGGCAAAAAAAAATGATGGCCAAAAAATATTGATGATTGTGTGTCCCTGATGGTCTAGTGGTCAGGATTTGGCGCTTTCACCGCCGTGGCCCGGGTTCGATTCCCGGTCAGGGAAGTCCCCGTTAATATTTTTTTTATACACGACAAGAAGTTATTGATCCACTCGATTCTGATTTTTTCTGGATCGTTATGAGCCTTCTTCAATAAAATATCATAATAAGACCTTGTGGCGCAGCGGTAGCGCGTCTGACTCCAGATCAGAAGGTTGTGTGTTCAAGTCTCATCAAGGTCCTTGCCTGGAGTTCAGAAAACTTTTAGTCACATCAAGGTCAATGCTGGGAGTTCAGAAAACTTTAATATTAAAAAGTTTTCTAAAAGTAATATGATTTGAGTTTTGCTCTTCTAGATATTTAAAAAGACATTACTGGAAATTGGCAGGAAATATGATTAAAAGTGATAGCATTTAAAAATGGCAAAAAAAAATGATGGCCAAAAAATATTGATGATTGTGTGTCCCTGATGGTCTAGTGGTCAGGATTTGGCGCTTTCACTGCCATGGCCCGGGTTCGATTCCCGGCCTTCTTCCAGAAATCCTCATATAAGACCTTGTGGTGCAACGGTAGTGCATCTGATTCCAGATCAGTAGGTTGTGTGTCCAAATCAATATGATTAAAAGTGATAGCATTTAAAAATGACAAAAAATGGCCAAAAAACAATGAGGTTGTGTGTCCTTGACAACATGATACAGATCCAATAGATTCTGATTTTTTTCTGGATCGTTATGAGCCTTCTTCAATAAAATATGATAATAAGACCTTGTGGCATAACGGTAGCGCGTCTGACTCCAGATCAGAAGGAAGTGTGTTCAAGTCACATCAAGGTCATTGCTGGGAGTTCAGAAAACTTTTAGTCACATCAAGGTCAATGCTGGGAGTTCAGAAAACTTTAATATTAAAAAGTTTTCTAAAAGTAATATGATTTGAGTTTTGCTCTTCTAGATATTTAAAAAGACATTACTGGAAATTGGCAGGAAATATGAATAAAAGTGTTAGCATTTAAAAATGGCAAAAAAAAATGATGGCCGAAAAAATATTCATGATTGTGTGTCCCCGATGGTCTAGTGGTTAGGATTCGGTGCTTTCACCACCATTGCCCTGGTTGGATTCCCGGTCAAGGAAGTTCCCTTTAATATTTTTGTTACACGACAAGAAGTTACTGATCCACTAGATTCTGATTTTTTTCTGGATCGTTATGAGCCTTCTTTCAGAAATCCTCATATAACACCTTGTGGTGCAAGGGTAGTGCATCTGATTCCAGATCAGAAGGTTGTGTTTCCAAATCAATATGATTAAAAGTGATAGCATTTAAAAAAGACAAAAAATTGGCCAAAAAACAATGAGGTTGTGTGTCCCTGATGGTCTAGTGGTCAGGATTCGGCGCTCTCACCGCCACGGCCCGGGTTCGGTTCCCGGTCAGGGAAGTGACTTTTAATATTTTTTATACAGGACAACATGATACTGATCCAATAGATTCAGATTTGTTTCAGAATCGCTATGAGCCTTCTTCAATAAAATATCATAATAAGACCTTGTGGCGCAACGGTTGCGCGTCTGACTCTAAATCAGAAGGTTGTGTGTTCAAGTCAAATCAAGGTCAATGCTGGGAGTGCAGAAAACTTTAATACTATAGAGTTTTCCAAAAGTAATATAATTTGAGTTTTGCTCTTCTAGATAATCAAAAAGACATTACTGGAAATTGGCAGGAAATATGATTAAAAGTGATAGCATTTAAAAATGGCAAAAAAAAATGATGGCCAAAAAAATATTGATGATTGTGTGTCCCTGATGGTCTAGTGGTCAGGATTCAGCGCTCTCACCGCCGCGGCCCGGGTTCGATTCCCGGTCAGGGAAGTGACTTTTAATATTTTTTATACACGACAAGAAGTTATTGATCCACTAGATTCTGATTTTTTCTGGATCGTTATGAGCCTTCTTCCAGTAATCCACATATAAGACCTTGTGGTGCAACGGTAGCGCATCTGACTCCAGATCAGAAGGTTGTGTGTCCAAATCAATATGATTAAAAGTGATAGCATTTAAAAATGACTAAAAAATGGCCAAAAAACAATGAGGTCGTGTGTCCCTGATGGTCTAGTTGTCAGGATTCGGTGCTCTCACCGCCGCGGCCTGGGTTCGATTCCTGATCAGGGAAGTGACTTTTAATATTTTTTGTACAGGACAACATGATACTGATCCAATAGGTTCAGATTTTTTTCTGGATTGTTATGAGCCTTCTTCAATAAAATATCATAATAAGACCTTGTGGCGCAACGGTAGTGCGTCTGACTCCACATTAGAAGGTTGTGTGTTCAAGTCACATCAAGGTCATTGCTGGGAGTTCAGAAAACTTTTAGTCACATCAAGGTCAATGCTGGGAGTTCAGAAAACTTTAATATTAAAAAGTTTTCTAAAAGTAATATGATTTGAGTTTTGCTCTTCTAGATATTTAAAAAGACATTACTGGAAATTTGCAGGAAATATGAATAAAAGTGTTAGCATTTTAAAATGGCAAAAAAAAATGATGGCCGAAAAAATATTCATGATTGTGTGTCCCTGATGGTCTAGTGGTTAGGATTCGGTGCTTTCACCACCATTGCCCTGGTTGGATTCCCGGTCAAGGAAGTTCCCTTTAATATTATTGTTACACGACAAAAGTTACTGATCCACTAGATTCTGATTTTTTTTTCTGGATCATTATGAGCCTTCTTCCAGAAACCCACATATAAGACCTTGTGGTGCAACGGTAGCGCATCTGATTCCAGATCAGAAGGTTGTGTGTCTAAATCAATATGATTAAAAGTGATAGCATTTAAAAATGACTAAAAAATGGCCAAAAAACAATGAGGTCGTGTGTCTCTGATGGTCTAGTGGTCAGGATTCGGCGCTCTCACCACCGCGGCCTGGGTTCGATTTCCGGTCAGGGAAGTGACTTTTAATATTTTTTATACAGGACAACATGATACTGATCCAATAGATTCAGATTTGTTTCAGAATCGCTATGAGCCTTCTTCAATAAAATATCATAATAAGATCTTGTTGGGCAACGGTTGCGCGTCTGACTCCAGATCAGAAGGTTGTGTGTTCAAGTCACATCAAGGTCAATGCTGGGATTGCAGAAACCTTTAATATTATAGAGTTTTCTAAAAGTAATATAATTTGAGTTTTGCTCTTCTAGATAATCAAAAAGACATTATTGGAAATTGGCAGGAAATATGATTAAAAGTGATAGCATTTAAAAATGGCAAAAAAAAATGATGGCCAAAAAAAATTGATGATTGTGTGTCCCTGATGGTCTAGTGGTCAGGATTCGGCGCTTTCACCGCCGTGGCCCGGGTTCGATTCCCGGTCAGGGAAGTCCCCGTTAATATTTTTTTTATACACGACAAGAAGTTATTGATCCACTAGATTCTGATTTTTTCTGGATCGTTATGAGCCTTCTTCCAGTAATCCACATATAAGACCTTGTGGTGCAACGGTAGCGCATCTGATTCCAGATCAGAAGGTTGTGTGTCCAAATCAATATGATTAAAAGTGATAGCATTTAAAAATGACAAAAAATGGCCAAAATACATTGAGGTTGTGTGTCCTTGATGGTCTAGTGGTCAGGATTCGGTGCTCTCACTGCCGCGGCCCGGTTTCGATTCCCGGTCAGGGAAGTGACTTTTAATATTTTTTATACAGGACAACATGATACTGATCCAATAGATTCAGATTTTTTTCTGGATCGTTATGAGCCTTCTTCAATAAAATATCATAATAAGACCTTGTGGCGCAACGGTAGTGCGTCTGACTCCAGATCAGAAGGTTGTGTGTTCAAGTCACATCAAGGTCATTGCTGGGCGTTCAGAAAACTTTTAGTCACATCAAGGTCAATGCTGGGAGTTCAGAAAACTTTAATATTAAAAAGTTTTCTAAAAGTAATATGATTTGAGTTTTGCTCTTCTAGATATTTAAAAAGACATTACTGGAAATTGGCAGGAAATATGAATAAAAGTGTTAGCATTTAAAAATGGCAAAAAAAAACGATGGCCGAAAAAATATTCATGATTGTGTGTCCCTGATGGCCTAGTGGTTAGGATTCGGCGCTTTCACCGCCATGGCCCTGGTTGGATTCCCGGTCAAGGAAGTTCCCTTTAATATTTTTGTTACACGACAAGAAGTTACTGATCCACTAGATTCTGATTTTTTTTTCTGGATCATTATGAGCCTTCTTCCAGAAATCCACATATAAGACCTTGTGGTGCAACAGTAGCACATCTGATTCCAGATCAGAAGGTTGTGTGTCCAAATCAATAAGATTAAAAGTGATAGCATTTAAAAATGACTAAAAAATGGCCAAAAAACAATGAGGTCGTGTGTCCCTGATGGTCTAGTGGTCAGGATTCGGCGCTCTCACCGCCACGGCCCGGGTTCGATTCCCGGTCAGGGAAGTGACTTTTAATATTTTTTATACAGGACAACATGATACTGATCCAATAGATTCAGATTTGTTTCTGAATTGTTATGAGCCTTCTTCAATAAAATATCATAATAAGACCTTGTGGCGCAACGGTTGCGCATCTGACTCCATATCAGAAGGTTGTGTGTTCAAGTCACATCAAGGTCAATGCTGGGAGTGCAGAAAACTTTAATATTATAGAGTTTTCTAAAAGTAATATATTTTGAGTTTTGCTCTTCTAGATAATCAAAAAGACATTATTGGAAATTGGCAGGAAATATGATTAAAAGTGATAGCATTTAAAAATGGCAAAAAAAAATGATGGCCAAAAAAATATTGATGATTGTGTGTCCCTGATGGTCTAGTGGTCAGGATTCGGCGCTTTCACCGCCGTGGCCCGGGTTCAATTCCCGGTCAGGGAAGTCCCCGTTAATATAATTTTCATACACGACAAGAAGTTATTGATCCACTAGATTCTGATTTTTTCTGGATCGTTATGAGCCTTCATCCAGAAATCCTTATATAAGACCTTGTGGTGCAACGGTAGTGCATCTGATTCCAGATCAGAAGGTTGTGTTTCCAAATCAATATGATTAAAAGTGATAGCATTTAATAATGACAAAAAAATGGCCAAAAAACAATGAGGTTGTGTGTCCCTGATGGTCTAGTGGTCAGGATTCGGCGCTCTCACCGCCACGGCCCGGGTTCGATTCCCGGTCAGGGAAGTGACTTTTAATATTTTTTATACAGGACAACATGATACTGATCCAATAGATTCTGATTTTTTTCTGGATCGTTATGAGCCTTCTTCAATAAAATATCTTAATAAGACCTTGTGGCGGAACGGTAGCGCGTCTGACTCCAGATCAGAAGGTTGTGTGTTCAAGTCACATCAAGGACATTGCTGGGAGTTCAGAAAACTTTTAGTCACATCAAGGTCAATGCTGGGAGTGCAGAAAACTTTAATATTAAAAAGTTTTCTAAAAGTAATATGATTTGAGTTTTGCTCTTCTAGATATTTAAAAAGACATTACTGGAAATTGGCAGGAAATATGAATAAAAGTGTTAGCATTTAACAATGGCAAAAAAAAACG